CGAAAAATAAACGCTTAGGTTGACCAGTTAGGTCCGTTGCCACTGTGTGCTGATCTGCCTGTTGCCCATTGTGTTCCGTGTTGAGGGAACAGGGTGGACGGCACGACCTGGTCGGTGGGCCAAACCCTCCATAAAAACAGCAGTAGGAAGAGGTTCAGGGTGGTGATTTCGACGGAGATTTTGTAGGAGTTGAACGCTGGCGTCGGCAGCTACTTCCGAAGTTCTGAAATCGGTACCATTCTTAGTAAGTGTGGCGCTCTGCGCTTTCATTTCTGCGGGTCGTCCTTCGGCGTAGACCAAACTTATGAAATCTGCCTATAGGATTCCCAAACTTGAGCGGCCATATCGGCCAGCCGCACGAGTGGAGCGCCGGCATTTTCGTAGAATGCATTGCAAATTTTGAGCTGCGTTTTACACCGCCACGTCTTCTTGAGAAAGAGGTCGTCTACCATGCCGTGTTTGGCCAAACGTTACATCTTTCGTAATGGCTGCAACAACTTTAGGTCACTCAACGCCGTTTCGCTCAAAAGGTTTTTGACACGTTGACGCTCTGAAAGACCAGTCACATTGTAAACCGCTGCTTTAAGTTCCTTGTAGGATTTCCCCTCTTCTAGCTGTTTGATAATACCGCCGATATCGTCGACGACTTGGGGATATTTAGTCCTTTCGGATCGGTAGCCAAGTAATTCGAGCGGTGCGTCTAACCGAGCGACACAACGATTTGGATTGTTGTCATGAAATGGCGTGGGCGGTTGTCACATTTTTGACCTGGCCGTCGGAAACTGGGTTACACGCGTCCCTGGCAAAGGGATACGAAGTAAGCTGTATAAAACACGAAATATGCACAAAAAGTGACAATGAATGGACGCACCAGTATTTAACGAACATTGAAAGAAAATAATAATAATAAGAGTCTTACCAAATTTTCGGTCGGGATCGCCAATTCTAGCGGAATCGTTCGGTCGCTACAAACTCATGTTCCTCCCGCGTTTAGGAAAAATCAGAGAGACGGGTGTATGGGTGAGAAGACGTTTATTGCCAAAACGAACAATCACGTTAGCTGTAGACACCGTAAAAGGTTCTAGCTAGGGTGGAAAGCTATAGTCATCAGGAGCGATGCAGCATACTCTTTTGGAAGACGTAACAGCCGCAAGCGCGCGAAATGCCGTAAAGTTGGGTAACTGAATCGGTAACCGGTAATTAACGAACTGGCGGGGGACGTTTTGTTATAGGCATTCTCATAATCAGTTGATCTTTTAAAACTGGTTACATGGCAAGTTTAAAGATACCGATGAACTAAATAAATAAAGTGGTTAAAATAATGGAAACACACTACAGGAAAGATGTGAGAAATATATTGTTCTAAACAAATTAAATTTGATCTTAAAAGAGCAGTATCCGGACAGTTTTGACCAGGCAAGTTTAGGAACAAGCATATAAAAATATGATACAAATATATAAATAAATTTAGATAACACAAATATTAAGGCTCAATTCAAGTAAAGCACTACTGTTGAGCGTGCGGTTCCATTGAAGAATTTTGCTCGAAGGAAAACGAATCAAAATCGTTTAGGAAACTCATCTGTTGACTTATCGGACACAGATTTGTGATGAATTCCAAATGCTGGTCATGTTGTAAAGGAGTGCCCTTGCGCTCCAAGACGATGCGGTGCACCACCTGCGATGGGTGGACTTACAGAGCATGCTATGGAGCTGCCATGAGTGGTATGAATTCCTCCTGCGATCTAACGTCCCGGGCCCAGGTTTCTCTTGCGCTGTGTGCTGCGGCCCCATAAGCAACAGACGATGTCTCGACGGACTGCCTGCGCTTAGCTCGCTCGCCTTTTCTGTTCAATCCGAGAAGAACATCGCTGTTGTCCCGATACCAAATGCTTGCCATATCCCATGTTCTGCTGGCGCAGATAACACAACGGATAAACATCGTTGGACATGCTACACGACCGGTCAGTCAACTGGCAATTGCCCGTAAGTCGTGAAAAATGCTCCGTTCTCCCCACAGACGTCCCTGCACCGGTCGGGGCATGCCATGTTTTTGGGGTCTTCCTCAGAACCACTATAGTTGAGAAAGGTCTCAGTGTGCTTGTCACACGTGATGTACGGACCACAGCAGACACATCACGCGGGGTTGCCGCTGCCAACAGGATGTCCACTGCCATACGGAGAGCCTTCTAGAAACTGACACCGAAAATCTTCAGAAAACGGTTTACCACCATGTGCGCCCGCCCCTTGAATCCGGACAATCCGCCTCCTGTACTCTTACCAAGTGCGTGCTACATGGTTGAGTAGGTTCTGTGGGTTGTTTTGAAATCTATACTGGAGTTGGGTGACTTGCCTTACCCGATTCGATTACAGCGGGTGCACCTGTTCTCCCTGGAATATCGTCTAGGTGGTGGTTATCTGCTTTTTACCACGCGAATTCTGAGGGGAGATAGGGATGGAGCTACAAGCGTCCATTCAGGTCAAAACTACTAGTTCCACTCGGGGCACAACTGAAAACTAGTTAAACTCAGATGCCTCAAGTCAGGTCAGGTCAGATACAACGGACGATAGGGGCTTTCGCCTAACGGGCGTCCAGTTTCTTGTGCGGGTAAATGAACAAAAATCCCCGGCACTTCGACATCGGCTTGACTCTTTTTGCTTTTGTAAAGGAATGAATCAAGAACAAGAGCAAGCTTTGCACTTTCATTCGTCAGCATCAAAATACACTACATGTTCCAGTACAATTACAATATCTCTGCAGAAAGCATAGACAAGCACGCATCTAAGCCTCTTTTGAAGGCTTCTACAGACTCACATTCCAGTAAAGCAGAAGGAACTTTATTCCAGGTGCTAACTACTCGGTTCGTAAACCATGTTTTCATGATGTCCAAACGAGCCCTAGAATGTTTGAGATTTAGGCAATGCCCGCGCAGGTGGTCCAACCTAGCTAACTCAAACAGATTGATGGGACTAATACACTAAGTACTTTAATGATATCAAACGTCTATCAAATCCCCCTCACTCTACGCCGTTCCAACGAGAATAATCCCAAGCTATTTAGATGAGCTTCGTACGACTTCCATCCTTGACCTTCTAGCCTCCTGGTCGCAAGTTTCTAGGTCTTTCCTATAGACCTGGCGTCACTATTGAGGTACGGTGCCCAGGCCCGAGCACAATACTCCAGGTGTGGCCTAACCACTGCTTTGTATAGCTGCAAGAATACTTCTGGTTTGGTGTTACTCAGGGCCCTCCTAAGACGAAACAACTCTTGTCGCGCTTTATTGGCAGCTTAGCGACACTGTGTCGAAGGCCTAACATGTTTTACTATGATGCTACCTAGGTGGCGGGCTTCATCGGTACGCTGCAGTGATAGAGATCCCGCAGGAGACTGCACTGCAATTCCGCTACTACAATTGAACAGTAACGGGCATTTATTGGCATTCAGAGGTAAACCCTATTGGCCCGACCAATTCACCACAGGGCTGATGTGCTTAACCAATTTCGCTCGGTTTCCCCTACTAACTAGCTTTCAACCATCTGCGAAGATATAGCGGGGATCCTCAAGAAAAGCCTGGTAATTAAGAAACTTAGAAACAACAACGGACCCGGTACCGAACCTTGGGGAACACCGCTGTAGGCTTGGTCCAAACTAGAACTCGCTTCCCCAAACGAGATTTGAACCACCTTCCACGTAAGAATTCAGTGAGCCACAGTAATAGTTGTGGATCAATCTAAACCGTGTCCGATTCTCAATTCAAAAGCGACGATTCACTGAGTCAAAGCTTCGCTGAAGTCCAAAGTTCACGCCTACTGCGTGGTGATCGTACGCTATATATTCAGTACGATACCAGACGGCCAACCAAAAGCAGTGGGTAGCACACAACTTAAGCAAAGCAAATAAGTTTATCGAACGGGAGGAGACTTAGTTACTGCTAAAAATATGGCACCAGAAGAGTGCTAGCTAGCGAGAATGTAGTTGGAGTCCAGTGCGTAGACGGAGCGTCGTTTGCAGTCGAGTCGCGCGCCAAAGACGGAAATCGTGTTCGTGTTTCCAACAAACGGGAACAACGTTCCAACAGGCAAACCGACTAATTCTCCCATACATAAGAAAGCTATAATTTTTAAACATTTTAGAATAGTTTACACAGTCATACGGGGGAATCTCCAGGTCTCTACACACCTCTACCGGCAGCCCAGTATCACTGCACCGGGTAATCTCATTTAAAAAGCTCAATAAATTGGTAAGATGCGAATTATTTTTAAGAAAGCCATGCTGTTTCGCTCGCAATAGATAGTGCTCAGTCAAGTGCTCACAGATCCACTTCCTATTAAGCTTTTCCAAGCACATCAGCTTGATGCTGGTCAAATAACGGGTCTAAGTTAAGATGCACCGACTTAGAACCTCCTTGTGGATGACAACAATGGTCGTCTCCTGCCAATACCATGGCAGATTGCTTTCTTAAAGAGACTGGTTGAATAATTCTGCGATAGGACACTGAAGGATTTTAGCCAGCGGCTTAACTATAGCGGGTTGTACACTGTCAGGACCAGCTAAGTAATAAGGCTTCCAACTGGCCGACCCTATGAAGACCTCTGGTGCATTAAGAATAATTTCCTGTCTCACTCTCGCTCTATCAACTCGCATTATATATGACTGGAACTGCCCTGGGAGCACGATCGAAAAAGTAAACGTAGCAAACTGGACAGCAGTCCAGTTCAGGTATTAGGGCGTTACTTGAAGCTAAATGCATTTAGTTTGACATTTGTTAATAAATAAATGATTGATATGCTTTATAAGTGATAATATTTGACCATAACCCGTATGGTTTAAATGCATCGGTAGGTCATGTTATTTGCACAGGTTCGGTTTTGTAACCTTGGGCGCTGCTGCCGCTTCGTTTTGCACTATTCGTTAACTTCGTTGATACTGCGTTTCCCCAGACTCACCTACCCGGTTTTCCAGTTATAGCTTGTTTGAAACATATGCGTTCATTTTCAGTATGCCACGTCGAAAAAGTTATCAATTAACTGTACTGTTTCTATCTCGTAGCACCATCTACAGTGCAGCAAAAAGAATGCTATCAGGATTTAGCTACGAAGAAGTGCTTATGTTAGCAGGTAAGCAACAAAAGGGTGAGGACATCAGAAACAGAAAGTAGCGAACAAGCTTGTTTTCAGGGCTTCGTCATCAGGCTAATACAACCACAATAAAGCAAGTTAGAATAGACACGATGGGTTTAAATTGAGTCACAGAAACAGAGTAACTAATCGATAAGTCTACGTGTTTGGTCTGATTGGTCAAGTGAAGTGGCGTGACTGCCATTGTTACTCGCGTTGATCTCAGGCCAAGGCAAGGCTAAAGTGTGGACGAGCTTTTCTGTGCACATAGGTCCGGGTCATAGAGCCGAATTGCGATTGCCTCTGCTGTCGACAGCAAGCGACATCTGACTGCCCGTGTGAAACGTCCGGGGACACAGTAAATCGGTGTGAATGCGTCACGCGAATCGATTTGATGGTCGGAGTCAACTAGGTGCGACAATACTGCACTCGTTACATTCTTCCTCACGCCGCTGTAGAGCCAAGCTGGGCAATGCTCTCGAGCCCTAACGGACAGTCGCCTGGTCGTTTTCCCAATATACCTTGCTCGACACGAGCAAGAGAAATTGTACACACAGAAGGAGGTCTGCGACCGAGGTATCCTGTCTTTAAGTTGTTGGCACACAAGCGGTGTTGAAGTGAAGCTTACGCGGAGATTAGCGGCAAAATACGTTCTTTCTGTTGCTAAGGAAAGTCTTCGGGTGGTCCGTTCCGCTATCGCGTCACCCTTAAATGGCAACGATAAGTATACTATCCGCTTCTCCACTGAAACGGGTTTGGGCTTTTGTACTCGTGGTTCCATGTGCCTCTGGATGAATTTCTCAGGGTACCCATTGCGCTCGAGTACGTTTCGTATAAAACTCAGCTCATCTGAAAGTGTATCATCTGTACATATTCTCCTCGCTCTCTCCGTTAGGCAACGGACGAGGTTCCTTTTTTGACTTATCGGAACAAAGCTAGCGAAATGGATGTACTGCCCATTCCAGGTTGCTTTTCTGTGCACCCTCCTCCGCATTGACCCATCTGATGCCCTTTTGATTTGGACATCTAAAAATGCCAACGTGTCGTTACGTTCTAGCTCGATAGTGAAAGTTATATTGCTATGTGCAGTGTTAAACTGGGCCAATAGGTCATCGACGCACATTCCATTATTCGCGATACAAAATATGTCGTCTACGTATCGACCGTAATAGACCAAGCTGTTGATGGATTCGTTCAGCTGGTTGCACTCCAATTTGCTCATGAAGACGTCCGCGAGCAACGGTCCTAAAGGTGAACCCATTGCCACCCCGTCTATTTGTCGATATAGCGTTCCATTAAACTGAAACTGAATGTTTCGTGTGCACATGAGTAGCAGTTGTCTCAGCCGGTCTAGTGGGATACCAACATTGATGTTGCGCAGCAGGATGAACTCGCACAGATAATCTACGGTCTCCTCCAATGGAACATTGGTAAAAAGAGACACCACATCTAGGGAGAACATCTGTCGCCCAGCTAGCTCAATTTGTTTCACTGAGTCAAGAAAATCGAAGGTGTCTTTGAGACTGTGTCTAGCTATGGCTTTCCTGACTGGTTCCAGCCGTTTGACGAGCCACTTGGCAGTTGAATGGTACGGTGAGTTACACATATCCAGTATCGGCCTTAGTGGTAGCCCTTCCTTGTGTACTTTGGGCAGGCCATACAATCTTGGAATCACTGTCCCACTCGGTCTGGTGTATTCAAATATATCTGCGTCTATTACATTCTCCTGCTTTAAGCAACGCAGGAGTTTCGTTATGGATCTCTCGATTGCCTGTGTCTTGAAGCTCTTTCACTCGGCCCGAAATTCTGTTGTCCACGAAACTATGTTAAACAGCTAGATTTAGAGGTCCAATTTGAGAATCTATATTCCCAAGTAGCTACACTTTCGCCGTCCTCAGCCTTAGCAGCCGAGCAGTATAAATCAACGCTGGTTAACGCATGTTACGAATACCTAACTTATAAACCGTGTACCAAGCATCTACTGAAGCAGGAACATCTAGACGCCCTTAAAGAACTCAAGCGAAACGATAATGTACTGTTGTCTAGGCCAGATAAAGGAGCCGGGATTGTTCTGATGGACAGATCGGACTACATCAGTAAGATGTATGCCATTCTTTCTGACGGGACAAAATTTCGTAGAGTGGATAATGAGAATGACAAGACACAGGCAATCGAGAGATCCATAACGAAACTCCTGCGTTGCTTAAAGCAGGAGAATGTAATAGACGCAGATATATTTGAATACACCAGACCGAGTGGGACAGTGATTCCAAGATTGTATGGCCTGCCCAAAGTACACAAGGAAGGGCTACCACTAAGGCCGATACTGGATATGTGTAACTCACCGTACCATTCAACTGCCAAGTGGCTCGTCAAACGGCTGGAACCAGTCAGGAAAGCCATAGCTAGACACAGTCTCAAAGACACCTTCGATTTTCTTGACTCAGTGAAACAAATTGAGCTAGCTGGGCGACAGATGTTCTCCCTAGATGTGGTGTCTCTTTTTACCAATGTTCCATTGGAGGAGACCGTAGATTATCTGTGCGAGTTCATCCTGCTGCGCAACATCAATGTTGGTATCCCACTAGACCGGCTGAGACAACTGCTACTCATGTGCACACGAAACATTCAGTTTCAGTTTAATGGAACGCTATATCGACAAATAGACGGGGTGGCAATGGGTTCACCTTTAGGACCGTTGCTCGCGGACGTCTTCATGAGCAAATTGGAGTGCAACCAGCTGAACGAATCCATCAACAGCTTGGTCTATTACGGTCGATACGTAGACGACATATTTTGTATCGCGAATAATGGAATGTGCGTCGATGACCTATTGGCCCAGTTTAACACTGCACATAGCAATATAACTTTCACTATCGAGCTAGAACGTAACGACACGTTGGCATTTTTAGATGTCCAAATCAAAAGAGCATCAGATGGGTCAATGCGGAGGAGGGTGCACAGAAAAGCAACCTGGAATGGGCAGTACATCCATTTCGCTAGCTTTGTTCCGATAAGTCAAAAAAGGAACCTCGTCCGTTGCCTAACGGAGAGAGCGAGGAGAATATGTACAGATGATACGCTTTCAGATGAGCTGAGTTTTATACGAAACGTACTCGAGCGCAATGGGTACCCTGAGAAATTCATCCAGAGGCACATGGAACCACGAGTACAAAAGCCCAAACCCGTTTCAGTGGAGAAGCGGATGGTATACTTATCGTTGCCATTTAAGGGTGACGCGATAGCGGAACGGACCACCCGAAGACTTTCCTTAGCAACAGAAAGAACGTATTTTGCCGCTAATCTCCGCGTAAGCTTCACTTCAACACCGATTGTGTGCCAACAACTTAAAGACAGGATACCTCGGTCGCAGACCTCCTTCTGTGTGTACAATTTCTCTTGCTCGTGTCGAGCAAGGTATATTGGGAAAACGACCAGGCGACTGTCCGTTAGAGCTCGAGAGCATTGCCCAGCTTGGCTCTACAGCGGTGTGGGGAAGAATGTAACGAGTGCAGTGTTGTCGCACCTAGTAGACTCCGACCATCAAATCGATTCGCGTGACGCATTCACACCGATTTACTGTGTCCCCGGACGTTTCACACGGGCAGTCAGATGTCGCCTGCTGTCGACAGCAGAGGCGATCGCAATTCGGCTCTATAACCCGGACCTATGTGCACAGAAAAGCTCGTCCACACTTTAGCCTTGCCTTGGCCTGAGATCAACGCGACTAACAATGGCAGTCACGCCACTTCACTTGACCAATCAGACCAAACACGTAGACTTATCGATTAGTTACTCTGTTTCTGTGACTCAATTTAAACCCATCGTGTCTATTCTAACTTGTTTATTGTGGTTGTATTAGCCTGATGATGAAGCCCTGAAAACAAGCTTGTTCGCTACTTTCTCAAAAGGGTGAGGATTTGTAACCTATATTACTTATGATTGCTCGCACAGTGCAGCTATCTGATAATGTTGCCAACTGCTGTGAAGAGGACAAGGACCCCGATGAAGTGGTCCATAACTTGAGCAAACTTATTGCAAAAGCACAGGTGCCAGCGTCTTTTGTCTATTGTCGTGGCATGTGCAACCGTGCATGCCATTTTTGTCAAAGGTTACAGGACGCTGCTGCGGACTCTACGGAACTCCCGCGTACGAACAGGCGAACAAATATGAACGGCATTGTACAAGGTAGGTTGACATAGGGTAATCAATGAAAACTACAAAGGCATCCTTCGGCAACGCGTGGGTGATGCAGCCTCGGAGGCTGACAATACACGCCACATCAGAACGTGGTGGCATTCTGCACAACACAAGAGACCGTCTGTAGAGCCAAGTAAAATATGCACTGCGAACGAGGTGAGTCCACTGCTTCATGATGAGCGCCTAGCCTCCTACGTTGTCTATCGCCGAAACGGATTAACCATCTTGACAATGCGGCTTTCCGCTACTAACGATTTTTGTACCACACCTTCATGTACGTAAAGCATTCTTGTACCCCGATTGTCATTTTCTTTCGCCTTGTGATGTTCTCAGGTGCGCGGTAAGCTCCATTTCGTTTTCTGACCAACAGCTTGAAGCGCCGCCTAGGTGTGTTCCCACGTCCAGCAACTACGGCAACACGTACTGCGTGAACCTTGGGTTCGAACCGTCAATATATTCCTTAGGTACTAAGTGCGCAGTGGTGTGATGTCCGTATTCGGATATCCATGGTAAGCAAGCGAGGTTACTGAACCTACCGGATTGCCACGCATAGGGGTAAACTTCTATTGGTCAACGCTAGCATCATTTTCATTGGTCCACCGTAAACTGGACAAAACCCCCTTTTAGCCGTCTCACGGTATAAGATCCTGTCCAGTTTAGCGTAATGCTCTCATAGGAACAGTTAGGAGGTTAGTCTGGACATGATCTGGACATGTGCTACCAGGGTACTTGCCGAAGCATGTGGTCGAGGCGCACTGAGGAACTTAACAAGCGCTTTTTGGATTCTCACTTGATAATCAAGCTGGGAGCTCGATTCTTCCAATGTAGCTCTTTCGGCCCCTTGTGGAATCCCATTCCGTAACCACTCATGGTTTCCAAGCAATGCTCGAGGATTGCGCACTTCCCCTGATCCTGCGCAGGAGCTTTCAAGAGACTTTCCTCCTGCTCTGCAATCCAATTTCCAGTGCTAAGAGCCATAAGGTCATAAATAATTTAAATAAAACATTGGATTAGCGTTATGATAAAAATCGATAACCGTATAAAAACGCGCTCAGAAGTAAGCATTTATGATTTGTTACCTAGTTTGCTTCACCCAATGGCTCATTAGCATCGTGTAACAGCTTGCTCTACCGAACGTTTACTTTCCAATTCTCTCACTTCACTTTGCAGAACGTTTCTAATGACTCAGATACCTTGGTATGCTATTTGCTTAGCTCTTTCCATTTTCTCCTTTTGCTTTCTGAGTTTACTTTTTGCTCCTTCTTACTTCACTTAACCAGCCCAGTAAGGACCGCTATAGCAGGATACGTAAACATTATTTGGTTGGACAGGGTGTGATGCGGTCTTTGTTTTAGCTCCATCAGTATTTCAAAGTCTGCCAACAGGTGGTTTAACGACCTGCTGAAAAAGGAACATTCATGGGATAATCCTATCGTTCCAGTCCTGCTTGAACTTGAACTGGAAACCGCAAAGCACATTTTCGGCCTATTTAGAGTCCGGTAGTTCCATTACTTAGGACCCATTGGATCATTGGAACGTAGTGAGCGGGAAAACACCTTTGTCACTATCGCCTCCTGTTCGTCACAGGGATCAAGGTGAACAATGCAAGTCGGTACCAATGGAATCGCTGCATTGACGCATCAAGCAACACCATCCAAGTTTACTCAACAGGTAAGAGTCCAATCGATGTTTGAAACATTCTTCCGACTGCGCGTCAACAATATACACAGGTAGGTTGTTCCACTCGTTCACTACTCTGGTAGGGAGAGTAAGGTCACAACGGACACGAAGTCTCCTTTGTTTAAACAATTTCCAATGGTGACCATGAGTCCAACTGAAAGTATTGCGAAGAAAGAAATTCTGTAGTTCAGCTACAAGTTCAACTCTAACGATACGTCGTGTGCAACTCAAATTCCCTCGCTCTCGACCATGGGCTAGTGAAAACAAGTTCATGCGCTGAAGACGATGTGAGTAAGGCAGGTTTTGTAACTCCAGAATAGCTTTAGATCCCCACTGGACATTTTCAAACAGGTTGCATGCAAAGTTGGAAACAGGATAGACCGTGGACAGTCCATACTCAAGAATCGGACGTACATGAGAAGTGAACACTAGCCTGAAGATTTTCGGAGTCAAGTGGGAAAAGGAACGTCGTAGGAAGTAACACAACCTGTTGGCAGTAGCGACGTACCTCCAGGTAGCTTCAGTCGATTTTGGGTCTGGGGTCACAATGACCTCAAGGTCCCTCACGCAACTAGTGGTTGGCACCAAAACCTACCGATATAATAAATTCCAAATAGCTCGGAGGCACCGATCGGAAGAACGGAGCGTTTATCATGCCCTATAGGTACTTGGCACCTGATCGACCAACCAAGTAGCATGTCGAACCTTGCTTTTAGTACAGCAGCTTCATCCATACAGGAGACTGCCTTCCATATGTTTACATCATCTGCATAAATCAACAATCTGTTTGTGGACAGACGCCAGGTCATTATTAAAGATTTTAAACGTTCAGAGGCAAGAACAGAGCCCTGCGGAACACCGCTGGCCATATATACATGGAAGAAAAGAGACTAACTAATTTTCACACAGAAAGCGCGGCCATGCAGGCAGTCATTGAACCAAGAGAAAACTTTTCCTGAAACACCAATGCTGAGAAGCTTACTAATCAAAATTTCCTGGCGAACCTTATCAAAAGCTTTACTGAAATTCACAAATACGACATCCAGCCGCTTACCAATATCCATGGATTTAGCCCACTTTTCTCGAGCTACCAGAAGATTGCTGATACATGAACGCGATTCACGGAACCCATGCTGCGCAGCTGAACTGAGCTTAAGGTTATGGAAACGTAGGTTGAGAGCTCGCTTGAGGATCCTTTCCATAATCTTGCAGACAACAGATGCTATACAGTTGGGCCGATAATTTATAGGATCTTGTCGATTTCCACCTTTGTATATTGGCTTGACTATGCCCACTTACCAAGCAAGTAAAAGACGCCCGGCCTCAAGTGTGCGTCGAAATGCGTGACCCAGTAACAGCAATACCTTCGACCACAAGCTGGAGGAAAAGAGGATGCAATCCACCAGGTCCCGATAAAGCTTTTCGACCCAGCTCTCAGAAACGTTTGGCTACCGTACAAAACTTTACGTCCATAGCATTGAGAACAGAGAGAAAGGACGAATAACAATCAACTAACGGCACCTCTGTTGAATTGGCTGATAGATAGTGGCAAGATAAAAGACTAGCTTTATCAGGATCCTCGTGCAGCACGGGATAACGAGCATGGGAATGCAAGGGCGCTATTCCACTTTCTGCTCTGTTGCTCCTTCAAGTAATAGAAAATCAGCTTCGGTATGGACTTGGAATGTTCACCCTGGTGACCTTGGAATTGCCGCTGTTTCGTACGCTTTTCGATGTACGTACGCAACGAAGCAATTTCCAATGTGCAAAGCCTGTAGCAATTCCAAAGTGTGTCTTTGGTTCAGGAGCGATCGTGCTTCTCGATCAATCCAGGGGACCTCTAGTAAAGGGTTTTCGTTTGGATATGGGAATAACCAAATCAATAACGGACAACATTTTTTGAAGAAACAAGACTCCAAGCATCCTCGACGTTTAAGTGTTGTGGAAGTCTCCCATTCTGCCCGCTAGTTGCCAACTTCAAGCGGTTTGGATCAGCACGCCAGAAATTCTGAAGATAAACAAGGTGGTTGTGAATGCTAAACCGTGTGGTCCAGTGAAAGGAAAGTAGACAGTGGTCACCCCTCTGGAGTGGTCGTAAACCGTCAATACAGAAACATCTAATTGCGCAGGCGAAACACAGCATGAGCATGTGCGGCGTCCGACCAGGTAAAATGCGAGTAGGTGCCGTGACGTGTTGAACTAACTTGCTTTTAAGAAGAGCTACCAGGAACATCGAATCTTAGGAAGCAGGTGCAACATCACATTGAAGAAGAGGCCAATCAGTATCGGGGGCATTAAAGTCCCACTAAGAAGCAATGCTTATTTCCACCAAGCTTCTTTAGAGGCTCTAGTAAACGAGCACTTGAATTCAAGGAAGTTCTGTGGATGAATCCGAGAAGGAGCGATCTACATCCATCGTGAATCTGAAACCAAAGCGCTTCGGGGGAGTCATAACTTTCCAACACAACATCAACTACAGTGACCTTCAAATTTTCCTTCCAGTAGAGTGTGACGCCGTCCCCTGACAACAAACCGACGCGATCAGCTAGTAATAGGCTGCAACCAGGAATATGTGCTTCAGCACCTGGGATTTCTAGAATTGCTCCGTAAACGCCACGAGGTCCGGGAGGACTACTGACGCAAGATGCACACGTTCACAAACAGTACGTGCAATCCAGTTTTGACCTCTGTGTTCGGAAAGGACAAGGACTGGCTTCCAGTGCTTTCTTTGCAATCTAAGAACCATGCGAAAATCCTCAACCATCATCGGCAACAGGAGTACATCAGCCATTTGAACTGATGAGGACCTATGAACTAAAGAATAAGAAGAGAGAGATAAGGGACTTACCTGATAAGCACATTGCCATAAACAAACTTTAAGGGTAACGGTGCCCACACCTTGCGTCGAAAACATACCGTCACAAACAACTGACTACCGTGCAAAAGTAAGGTGGCATCGTCGAGACAGCTTCCTTGCGGCGTTCATTGCAACTCGTCATAATCAGCCATTACCCCGCAGACAACTCAGCACAAAACACATTAAACTGGCAATCCGATTAGGTAACGGCAGCAGACGCGCCAATGGTGTCGGTTGCGACCAATGTCCTGTAAAATCTCGAGCCAAGCACATGGCGTGTCACGTGGACCCCAGCCCGGAAGGCGAGACGGACCAACGGCACCCAGTTTGGTCGTCAGGGTCTTCATTTTCCGCTGCCAAGTCAGCTTCTGTACACCTCGAGCCTTGAGTCACCCTACACCTGGCAGACTAAACAAGGCCCTCCTAAGTAAGCGGTGACCAGGCATCCGTAGCAGGTGCCCAAGCCAAAGCAAATTATTCAGTGCTATTTGTTGTTCTATGGAACTAGCATGACTATTACCACCTATTACTAACAAACGCGCATCATCGTTGCGGACACTCTAGTGCCATCCAATTCCAGCAATGCTTCGCAAACAACGATGATCAAAGATTTGAAGGTGCCTCGGATCTACCGACCGAGGTGACCAAATCTCACTACCAGTGAGAAGAACGGCCCTCACTGTGGCCTTGTATACACGGCCTTTCAGACAGAAGGAAACTCCCTTCTGTCGCCAAATATGCAGCAGGTTCAATAAGGT